CTCCCCCTCCCCCTCCCTCTTCCCCGTCCCCCTTCCCCTTCCACCACACCAGACTTACCAGCTGGAGGCAGCTCTCCTTGTTGCCCGAGTACTGCGCTGCGGCTACACACAACACAGGCATTTATCAGCCAAATTATTGGGCCAATATCCAATACAGCCAGTTTTCTTTATATCGGTACCGATCCGATATCAGACCAATGTATCAGTGGACCTCTAAACACCATAAAGAAATCCTCCAATTAGACCATCCAAATAGACTCTAATATATCTTAAGCATGTTAGTAGTAATATTATTTGACCAAGTATATTAGATACAGTTTAATTTATATGAGAGATCTGTGTTGGGTTTCTTCAGATAAATTGTGAAAACAGAGCAGCCTCGTTAATGATCATAAACCAAGGTGGAAGGAAAAGTGGAATGGTAACAAACAACATTCCATAATGGTGAAGGAAGGAGATAAAGAATCCTCCCTTCCAGAAGTGGAACTTTTGCAACACACAAATCCCAGTTAATGGAAACCTTTCAAGGCCACAAGAGAACTTTGTAAACTGGACTGAATCATTTTCAGTGGAACATTTAACTGTATCCAACCAAAGTGTGGCTAGGTGAATATCATTAATAACTGGGTATCTGTGGTTGTACAGTTGAGAAGGTTTTGGGAATGAAGGATCTAAGGAACTGAACAACCACCAGAGCTCAGAGATTCTGGGGCCTGGCTTACATTTCTCTTCCCAGGCATGAGTGTGGCTTTGCTTCCTGTTGCCTGATTCAAATACTAATTTAGCTGGGTTTTTTTTGGTTTCCAATAAAGTGATTTGCTTGAGAAGAAATGGGTGTGCTCTTTCTCTTTGTTCCAGAATCTTGTCCAATCAATCCCCTTTACTCTAGTTTGGGGAGAGAGGGTTTCCCGTTTGCTAGCACTACTGCTTATTATCTCTCTTCAAACCGTTTATCCCAGCATCTCAAAATTCAGGAAAACCAGCACCCCATGAACACTTTCATTGATGACAGGGAAAAGAAGTAGTATTGTAATCACATGCCCATGCCAGGGTGTTTTGGATAGGTAGATAAAATACAACCCTGCTAAATTCTATTTCTTGATTTGATGAATCTTAGAATACTGATAATTAAATGTACCAGATGATATTGCTCATCTGGAGACTGCCATGGGGGTGCAGAAGAACAGTGTATGGAACTGGGAGCTGTCTGGAAATCTATTGGCTGGTTTACTGATTGCTCTGCTCTTGTCTGTCAGGTTGACCTCCCTGCCAGAGAAGCCCCCAGCCATTGATTGGGCATATTACAAGAAGACAATTGCCCTAGCTGGCTTAGTGGATGAATTTGAGAAAAAGGTGAGATTCTTGGATGAGCAGAGGATAAGGCTTGATGCATGGAGTAAAACTGGAAGGGCGTGTGAGACTTTCCTCCAGCTAACTCGTAGCTGCGGTTTTTGGGGGGTATCCTGATTTGGGATGCAGCTGCTTTGCATCACATAGGTGTTGCAAACCTGCTCCGAAGCAGATGGAGTTAACCTCAGGCAGGATAACCCTCTTGAAGCATGAGACTGACATAGCTTCTTCTGTACCCACTATGGGTTTTTCCTTCTACAGCCATAAGTGGTCTGGAAGCAGAGCCTGTGGGGAGGGTTTTCTTGAACCCAGCTGCCTCCTGGTGTCCTATCAGGCTCCCTGAGACCTTCAGTTGTCTGTGTAGTCTAGAGCACTGCTCTGACAGACATTGTGTGCTAGGCTGGTACCAAGAGGAAACATGGTCCCATTGTTTGAATTGGGCTTCTTTCTCCTTGGCCAGAGTCTGGGTTCTGGCGTGTTGGCTTGTCACAGAACTTTACTGTTATAGGTTGCTGGACAAGTGTTGAGTGAGGGTTTGGGTAATAAGTTGACACAATACATTCCTTGAGCTACTCTGTTTAAGGGCAGGAAACCTTTAAAAAAGCACTGCTTGGTGCTTCAAAGCGGCATATGGATTCCCCCTTCCACTTTACTACACCAACAAAGGCTTTGGCCTTCTTATTAATAGGCACTGGATGGAATGTCCCGGCTGACTTGCTCTGGGTTATACCTGAATTGGTATCGGAGTTGGTTGCTCTTCCTTCTGACCTTGCACTTGGTTCACAATGACCCAGTTACCTCTAAATTAGAGGTTGGGACCCTTTTAGAGTAACGGCCCAGGCACTTACAACTTGGACACTGCTGTGGGTTGCAGATCCCCTGCTGTTTCAGTCCCCTCTTTGCTTTTTGCCCCCCTCTGCTTACCAGGTGTCACTGAAAGCTGGAGCCAGTGCTAATGGGAAGTGGCAAATTTGATAGTGAGGGCACAGAGCAAGAGGCTTTAGGTGGCCACTTCAACTTGGCTTCTTTTAAATTGTTGCCCCTGCCCCCCTCCACCAAATCAGACTTTGGGATGTAGGTTGCTAGCTCCTGCTCTAGATTAATTCAGGAACTTTTTTTTTTTTTTTTTTACTGTATAATATGGCTCATGGGGCCAAGTGGGAAGTCTTTGGTGTCTAGAGGGATTATTGTCACTGCATCTGTACAGTGCTGTTCTGAGTCTGGATAACTCCCCTGAGATGATGCCACGGTCACGGTGTGTGGTGTAGAGGCATGCAGTGCTGTTTTGAAACTAGTGTCCATGAATGAATTGGTGACACATGCAGAACGTTTCACTTAAAAGGGTCTGAGGCGTGTTCTTGGGGCAAGGGTAAGAGCACTGGGCTGGCAGAATTCCCAGCTCCAACACAATCTCAAGGCAAAAACATGTAAACCTTTTTCTTTTTTTGTTTGTGTAAATTTTCAGTTCAGTGCACTAAAGATTCCTATGCCAGTGGACACTGAGACGGCCAAGATTGATGCCCAGGAAAAGGCAACGGTGAGTGGTGAGAAGCTACATGTTGACAGCTTTCAGTGGTGCACATGGAGCTGCAGAACAGCTTTGCATTTGGAGTCTCTGTGGACTGCAAATTGTGTTAGGGCAGTTAGGTTGTGACCATCCTTTGTGCCCATACAGGCAGTTTCTGCTGAAGGATGGGACTTTTGTTTATATGTGGCCATGCTGTGGATTTAGGCTCCTGGCATCTAAATAATGGTTCTGTTTCTCAGGCATGACAAAGGCGAATTCAGAGGCAAACAAAGGCCTACTCATTCTGTAGGATCTTACTGGTATAGGCTGCACTTATTGGCATTCAGTAGGCCTGATTGTGGGGCCCTCTTTTTATAATATGGTGTTGGAGTTCTCAGTCCAGGGATGGTATGGATTGCTGCATGCTTGAATCCCTGTTCTACAGATCTGGTCTCCATAATATGGCAAGGGTGGCTGCTGCACAACTCCAAAGAATGTCATCCATATGTCAGTTTGAAGAGTTACTTTTAGTGTGTTTTCTTAGGCAGTCTGCCTGCTCAGGACTGCTGGATTACTAGAGAGATTTAAACTCCCATGTTCAAACAAAGCTGTCAAGCTGGTGTACATCTGATTTCTGTAGAACGTGGCACTGGAGAGTTTTGTAGCCTGAAGTTTGCAGCTGACACTTGTTTGGGAACTTACCTGGCTTCAAACAATCTCCCCATCTCTTTAAAAAAGGGGTAGAATCCACTGCCTAACAAATCAATGCAGTGAAGAACAGTAATTCGCAATCCATCCTCTTTACAGGGTTTAAAACAGTAAAATAATTTGTCTGAGTGCATTGTAGCAATGAATGCCTGTGATCACTAAAATAGGAAGAAGTTAATGAGGGAAAAACAACTAACTTCTCTCTGCGTGTGCATTTCAAAACTTTGTTTGTGGGGCATTTAATTTTCTCTTGTAGTTTATCTTTCCCTGCTGTGCGTCTTTCATGTAGCAAGAGTAGAGAGAGGCATGTAGGGGAGGAAAAAAGTGATTACAACAATGGTGGAGGAAGGGCATGTTATGTGTTCATGGGGTGTTTTGCTATGGTCTATGGGGGAAGGGATGTTAATTGTTACTGATCTTTGAGTTGAGTGTCTTTAATCAAGTATAAAGATGAGTTCTGTTAGGCCTCCCCTGGCACAGGTGAAAGGCTGAGAATCACAGCTCCCTTGTAGGAATCAGTCAGTGGCACTAGCCCACTCATGAAACCTTCTGCTGTCTTTCAGGAAAAAGATGCCATTGCGTATGTGGATGCCTCCAAAGCTCGTGTTGTGGAGTACGAGAAAGAGGTGGGTTTGGGTTTTACTTTGCAAATATCATGTTCATCAAGACAGCCTAGTGCACAACCTTGCTTTGATTTCTGAGTAGGTCTAATGTAGGTCTAGCTTGCTACTGCTTCTTCCAGCTGACTTGAATACTGACTGTCTTGTCTTTCCTTGCAGCTGGAGAGATATCGAAACATGATTCCATTTGAGCTGATGACTTGGGAGGAACTGAATGAAGCTTTCCGTGAAACCAAACTGGACAAGGAGAAGCATCAGTACTGGCCGCACAAGCCCATTACAGATATGTAAACTGCACTGCCAAGTGGGTTATTCACCATTAATATTCAACTCTAGAGCCTGTTAAATAAAGTAACTACAAAGGACTTCAGCAGTCTGTCTTTTGTCCTGTTTTCCAGGGCATGTGAGGGTTTGGGTAGGAGCTCAGAGTTGGTTTTGATTCCTGGAAGGGAGATGAATTACTGAGAAATGAGCAGGAGTCATTCAGGGACATTCTGTGGTCTTCATGGGGCAGGGATACTTGCTGAAGGAGGACGGCTGCTGGAGTATCATGATCACAGGTAGATGCTCTTGGGACTGGGAGAGTCCTAGTCGTGAACCCAGTACCCTCTTCCCATTGTGCTTTGGTTAAACCCAAGGTAGCGTAGGTGATGGGTAATGAGCTTACTAAAGCCAGGGCTGTGTGATGAGCCTGCCATGCATTCTCAAGGATATTCTGCTGCTCTGAGTTGGCTGCTTCCTAATCTTGAAGCAATACAGCTGTGTCCTTGGGGTGCTTTGGATGGGCTAATCAGCCCTATTGAGTGAAAGTACCAATTTGCCTATTCCTAGGCACCTTGCAGATACAATTCTGCTTTAGGAAGGTTGGTTGGAATATTGCTTCTCTGGGATAAGCAACACAATCAACATTCAGCCTTTTAGCAGCTGTGAAAGTGGCTTATAAATATGCAGGTTTAGGGTGAATCTGTTTCACTGCTGACTCTTAAGAAGTGCAGTCTGTTTTGGCGGGACACCGGAACAAGGTAAGTTTACAGTGTAGAGCTGTTTTAAATCCTGCAGTGACACACAGGACTGGTCCACTTTATCTCTTAAGCCCTGACAACCCGGAGGCTTTTGGCACTCATTAAAGCACACTAGCTTTTGTTTTTCATAGCAATGTGAAAATTAACAAGACTATGCCAATTCAGGGGTCTTTTAGGAGCCTTTAAATTGATGACTTCTAGTCAGTAAGCAATTAAATGGAGTACAACTGCATTACAAAGCAGAGGGTGTGGCCAGACCTATGCACTTAACAGAAACAATGTAACCAACGTTGATTATATAACATGCCAGTCCCAAACTTTATGCAGGAAACAAATGACACATTTATTGTTGAACTCTGCAGGATGTCCTGGGGACAATGGAAGGTTTGGAGCGCCACTCTCACTAAAATCAAGCACTGCTGGGAATAAGTTGAAATAAATGTTTAATGGTAATTTTTAATATTAAAATGCAAATAGTATGACTGTTAAGACAACATAGGTAATACATTTCAAAGTGAATAATCAAATGGTCATTAATAACATTTTTTTTTAAAAGATTTGAAAATAAAGGGCTTAATCTTAAATTTATCAAGTCTTAAGTCTTAAAAGCCTCTAACAGGTGGCCAGCTGGTTCCAGGAGGAAGGAGGAGGCTTCTTACTTGTGTTTTAAAAACTAAATAATAATAATAAACTGGCCTTTTTATCTTGGTTCATCTGACCATGGACCATTCAGCAAGAACCATAGTTCAAGGCTGAAGAGCAAAGATTCTGGAGTGAACCTGGATGTTCATACTTGATTACAGGGTACAGTTTCAAAAGACTGTTAAATAAGGTTAAAAACATAAATAAATAGAGACGTACCGGTTATTCCAGTATTAATGTGGTTGACAACATGCAACTCAATTGGAAATGCCTATTTCTTTTAATTGCCTATAGAAGGTGTGTCTGTATCTGTCAGATCTAATTGGTATAAAAATCAATAAATGACTAAGTGACTCTGAGAGGACTTCTCTTAATCTTACTCTTGCCTTCTGAATTTTTGCCCCTCACCTGCTCATTTCCTTTGCCACTTCTTCTCTCACCTCAACTCTAACAAAGCAAGCGCAAGCAGCTGCTATAATATATTGCTAGGAAGCAGGTTAGAGCTTTCTACAGCCTCCATTACGCAGTATGTTTGTAAGTGGAGGGTGTTGTGTTATCCCATGCTCCCTTAGCAAAGGATGGATAACACAAAATCATGGGAGGCACTGCGCTCTGGCAGGGGTGGAAGGTCCTTCTGATCATTTAGCCAAGCAAATGTGCTGGACTGGTGCTCTGGAGGATGCCTGTAATGACCCGGGCATGTTTTTGTTCTAAAAATTATGTGAAGGTGGTGGAAAACCAAGCAGGAGATGCCCCAGCAGAGAGGGGCTTATAAAAAAGTGCTGGGGTTTCCTTGGTAATAGCTGGAGCCATTACCACCTTTTGTTATAGACCTGGACCATCTAGAAATCCCATTAGTGCCTTTTAGTATTAATAGACAAGTGCTTCAGTGGTCTACAAAAGGAGTCAGGTTCATAATGTATGTTTGCTTATAAAAAAGGCTCCAGGTGATGGAGCTACTATCTGGGATTTCTGTACCTTTCCCTTTGATGATCTCCCCCCGTCCCCCCAAGCAAGAGTGCAGTTCAGTCCCCTTTTGACGTAAATGAGTCCCTGCTTGGGCATGACCTTAACAGAGAAGCATGGATCAAGCTGAACAAATGGATCTAGATACAGATGCTTCAAAACCAACACTTTACAAGAGGAATATCTTGGACGGCTCCCTGTGTGGGTGTGGTGTCCAGCAAACAGCACAGCACTTAATCAAAAGCCGTAATCTTTACAAATGCTCAGGCAGGGCAGATAGAGTCTGGACATTGAGCAATAATACCAGAGAGTGGCTCATAGATTTGGAAGTTGATATCTGGCGCTATACGGAAGAGAGATTTCCAGCAGCTCCCCTGTGAGCTGTGATATCATCTAGCCAGCTTCATGATGAGGTCTAACTTCTGTAACTCGTTTGTCTAGGGGATGCCCTGCTCTTATATGCTGCTTTGGCAAGCTTGCAAGAACAAGGTAATTGTCCTGAAGACTTTCTGGTCTACTTCGGACAATATAGTTCACAGCTTAGCAATTCAAGCACAAAAAAGGAGGAAGAGCTCTCAGGCAGGTTGTAGCAAAGACGATTAAGGACTAGCTCTGTAAGAAGACTGGAAGAGGCAGCTGGCCCATAGCTAACTGTTCCATTTTACCACAATGTAAGTTAAATGCAGCAGCGATAAGAGCAAGTGCCCATAGAGAAACAGCTTCTCCAAAAGTAGCAGAGCCCACTCACACTCCCGAGGTGTTGCTTCGTTCCCTGTTCGCTGCTCAGGCCGAGTTCTCCCTGCAAGCATGGGTACTTCTGTATCTTCCTTCCCAAGTGGCTCAGTGGCCTTGCTATCCGCTTCCTCCGGAGTCTCTGCAGTCGGGAAATCTGCAATAAACAAAATACCAGCCGATACTTTGGGGGCAGGAGAAAGCATAGACAAGCGGACACCAGTGTATTATGTAGCATCTCTCAACCAGGATGTCGTGTTGGAAGCCTACATTTTCTCTCTGTGGGTTCACCTAAGGAGAGGGTTGTAAATCTTCGGAGCTTTTTTTTTTAAATTTCATTCCTCCAAGAGGGAAGATCATTTGTTATTGCAGCTGGGATCCAAATTTGCTCATCTTGTCAGTCACCTACACGGGCAGAGTTTTAATTCTCTGTCCTCGGCAAACTTTTTAAGTTAAGCAAATATGGTGAATGTGGTCAGTTTAAAATGAATTCCCAAACTACTGGCATCAATTCCTGTGTAGAGGTTTCGGCTCCAATGCCAGGAGTCCTTGCAGTTGCTTTTCTGGCTGTAACATGATAGCATTTGAAAACTGCATTGGATGGAAAAGTCCTCAAAGCTTTGGGATCTAGGTTTTTCTGGGCAACACACTACTGGTCTGTGGGAAAGCTGGGCTAAAATCATAGAAAGTTAGGGTTGGAAGGGACCTCAGGAGATCACATCTAGTCCAACCCCCTGCTCAAAGCAGGACCACCCCCAACTAGATCATCCCAGTCAAGGTTTTGTCTAGCTGGGTCTTAAAAACCTTAAAAATCAGGGCACCCGTTTGGTGCAGCAGGCAGTTGCAATGCTCTGCCCTCTGCTACAGTTTGTGACTTGTAGGCAACAGTTTCTTAGAGGGTTGCAGACTTGTAGACCAAGACCTGTGCAACATCCACCCCAAATGCAAATGCAGACCTAGCTTGCGTGGAATGACAACTCTGCCTAGAGAAGCAATTAAGTGTTCAGCCTCCTGTGCACACATATATTGCCTGTAACTATATTGGATTAGGGTGTATACATTTTACTGCCACCTCGAGGAGCCAGGTACTTGAAGGCTGTGGGTGTGAGTTTTCTGTGATCAACTGGGTTGTAAAAAATGGAGTGAAGTTTTGAGCCTGCTGGTATGATTTTTGTTTTACCTTCCTCCAGCAGCCCGGGGGCTCCTAAATGAAGGGACTCCTGGATATGCAGCATCCAAGTGGAGTAACCCAGCTCTGCCTGTGTGGAAGTTTCTGGATATTTTACCTGTCCTGGAGCATGTGAGAAGCCTCATGACCTTGACTAAAGCGAGCGGAGGGTTTCTCTCCTTCAGCTGCATCAACAGGCAGGTCTCTAAGGTGCCTATTATCATCAGCACAAAGGCGCCTCCGAAAAACATCACTGAAACACAGAAGAATGCAAGGCTGGATGTATTGGATAAATGCTTTGCCTTTTTTTCTCTGCACCCATACTTCTATCTATGTTCAGCTGCCTTACAGAAAAACAGCACAACAAAATGGGGAACCAAGCCAGAAACAGCTTTTGAGCAGGGGACTCTTGCATCAAGGCTCCAGCGGCCCGACTAGGCACTTCTGGAGTTACTGCCTACTGTGAAGTAGACACGGTTGGGGTCTGGTTCCTACGATTCCCCTTTCTTCCCCACAGTTTGTGCAGGGTTTATACGTAACCCGAGCTCTACTTTGTTTAAAAACAGGTACCTATTATGGGCAGGCTCTCGGAAGAAGTTGGAAGAATGTCATTAAGAATCACAGCTAACATGGAAATCCCCAGGATGAGTGAGATCTGGAAGCCGATCTTTTCTCCGTGAGAACTGGGCCCGAAAAGGAGAGCCATATCCAACAGGTACAGCATGCACGTAGGGAGGATCAGGTTCACAACGTAGTAAAGGGGTTGTCGCTGCATGAATATCTGTTGGAGAGGAGGAATACAATCCAGGTGAGAAGGGAATGGGGGGTTTCGTGCGAGACGGGGCTTTCCAGCTGTGGTCAGGGGCTGGGGTACCTGAAGGAGGGAATAGGCAAGGCTACGTCTTTCTGCCCTCTGTCTGCTTTCTTGTGCCTTTTGAGTGCTCCCAAATGAATTCCTGTCACCATATGCCCTCAGTTTCTTCCTTGTTGATCTTCATGATCTACTTTGTCTACACTTTAACCCCAACTCCTGTTCCCCTGCTCCACCGGCTAATTCCTCCCCACCCTCCCTTCTCATTCCCTTCCTTTGGGGTTGCTCCTATGTTCTACCTATTTTTACTGTTTGCTTATGGTTTCCTCCATCCCCACATATGCCAATGAAACACTATGCCATTGCCGATTAGTTGCTAGGGTAATCCAAAGACTTGCAAGCACAGTCTCCTTGCAACATAGCCACTGACAGTATAACCATAAGGCCCATCTCTTTCTGAAGATCTGCCTTCCACCCCATTAACTCCAGCAGTGTGAAGAACTGGGGTTGTGGCAGGGCCCCTGGCTCCTTGAGTTGCTTTGTGAGCCTGCTCTCACAGCTGCCATCTCCCATTTACATGGGAGTTGCTTATTTCCTCCCTAAGATCTTTGCAGAATTGATGATGCCCAAGAAAAAAAAAGTGGCTTGCATGATCTGCAAAGCTCTAGAGTCGGGCTGGAGCATAAGAGGCACCTATGGTGGAAGTCTACCGAAGTGACAAGGTTTGCGATGCCCCGGTTAGGTGTAGGCAACTTTGAATTGCTAGCAGATTCTTCTATTTTTAGTTTTTCAACTCTTGCACAATTGCGGAGACAGGGGTACTAACTCTTGGGCTCAAGAGACTACAACTTCTCTCCCACACATACAAAAACATATCATTAAAATATCCAAAGCTGCTTGATCAAACTCGCTGCTTGGTAGGGGAATGTGTTATTTAGTTTCACAGAAAGACGAGCACTTTGCTGTTGACTACATTGTGCTCAGCTCACGTTTTTGGCTTTGGGACATGGCAGGGTTCGTGCGCTAAAGGATCAGTTCTACAAAGCGGATATAACAACGGCATGTGAAATAAAGTGGCACCTCATAAACGATCACACCAAACGTCTCTTCCCGCTCGATGACTTTGTGTTCTCTTATCTTTATGTTCAGAGGCTTCCATTCTCCGTCGGTCTGGAAATAAAGCTGGCTCTTACTATTTAGGTCCTCCTCCGTCTGACCGGGGTTGATTATAATGTCTCTTACTGTTTGTGGAAAGAAAGTGAAGACAAGGTGTTTCAAAGCGGTTTCCCTTCTTGGTGCTAGAGAGGTTGGATCAGTCCCCCATCTTCAGAACAAGAAAAGAGAGAGACTCCCACAGAGCAAATGAGCCGAGTGGTACTGGGTACTTAGGTGAATACTGGGCTTGGGTCTCACCTAAGGGTAAATTAGGAGTGGCCTTCCTGGAAGATGTGCTTTAGCCAAGCACAAGGTCTTGTGTTCAGCCCAGATCTTACTGGGTGAAACATTGGCCTGTGATGCACAAAAGCCGAGACCGATGCTCTCGGCTGGTCTTCAACTCTATGAATATCATGAAACGTTTTTCACTGTTCATGAAACCAAATGATTTTTTCAACTGAACCTGAATTCAGAGAATACGTCTTGTTAAACAAAAACCTGTGGTAGGCAAGCAAGGATCGGTGGCTCTAAAAATCATTACCGCCCTTTTTTCTATGACAACTTTGGGATTAAAAAAAAAAGACAAGCAGCAGTCCCAAACCGGATCTGGAAGTTTCCCCTGAATCTTGGTCCCCTTCGGCAACCCCCGCTGCTGTAAACTGTCCTGCTGGGCACAGAGTCACACCTCTGCTGTTCCAGGCTTCATCTGGTCCCTGTGATTCTGCGTTACATTGTAAAGACCAAACCCGGTGTTGTTAGCCAGTTGACTAAGTAGGACTACTCCTAGGAATAAGATTGTATGGGAGCAAATCTTCATTCCTTCCAGAGATGGGTCCGTGGGATATTCCTATGGGAACCATCATGTTATCGCCCAGCTGGTGGGGCCAACCTTTTTGGCAGGCACACCACAAGTTGGCCCCACAGCCTCCCCAAGTGCCACTCCAATCCCACACTTCTTCCTGATCTGCTGCTCTATTTTCTGCTCCCTAATCTGTGCCCCCTGCCTGATCCACCTTCTGCTTCCAGCCCCAGCTGCTGCTGCGCCGTCTGTCCCCTCCCCGATCCGCCCCGTGCCACACAAAGAGGCTGCCCGTGCCACTTACGGCACCCTTGCCACAGATTGGCCACCCCTGTTAAGGCCCATTTCCCCCTTATTTCACATCATCTTCTCTTTTAAAGGGACAATGTTGATAAAGAGACACATTGCAATTGTCCATAACCTGGCTCCGGTGATGGCCAGCAAGTACAGGCCAGCTCATAAAAACCAGAAAGCAAGGATGGTTTGTAAGATTACCTGTGTACATGAATGTGGTTATGCTGATGTTGCAGGTCTGAGCATCAAATGGGAATTTGTGGATTTTCAAGCTGCACGTTATCGTGACCTGGTGGGGCTGCCTGGTCCTAACAATCCCGTTGTGAGTGATGGATAGATAGGGTATGATGCTTGATTTCTCTTTATCCACTCTGAAGAAATCAATGATTCAGCAACAACCAAGATGAAAACCACATGATGCCTCTGGCAAAGCCAAGATGGTTCATTTGCAAATTCACTGTTTGGTTCCCTTGGGAGGGTCAGTGTATTTTACTAAAAGGTTTGAGCAGGGAGGGGGAAGCGATGGGCAGGAACAATGAGAGATTTAAAACATAACCCCCCCCCCCCCTCCCCAATTTCGTTTTTTGGGGGGGGGGGGGGAAAGGGGGGGGAAAAAAATAAAGGAAAATTAAAAACACCCCCCCCCCCCCCCTCCCCAATTTCGTTTTTTGGGGGGGGGGGGGGAAAGGGGGGGGAAAAAAATAAAGGAAAATTAAAAACACCCCCCCCCCCCCCCTCCCCAATTTCGTTTTTTGGGGGGGGGGGGGGAAAGGGGGGGGAAAAAAATAAAGGAAAATTAAAAACACCCCCCCCCCCCCCCAACAAACAGCAATTGGGAGACGGGGTGGAGAAGACAAGGGAGGCGGTGGAAGAGGGAAAAAGCAGCAGGTGTAGACTGTCTGGGACTGGGAAGCATCTCTGAACACCAACTTGAAAAGCAGCCAAATCAACGCAGCTCATTGCTACGCAAATTGTTTTCTCCTTTCCGCTACTTTGGTTTATGAGACAGCGAAGAGACTTGGAGACCTGTGAACCGCATGCCCCATTGGGACCAGGTCTGTTGGCCTGATCCCCGTGTGACAGTGGCTTTCTGGTGCAATTCAGTTTGTGTCAGTTGAACTGCTCCCGATTTCCACCACCGGCAGGGCAGAATCAGGCCCTGCGTCTTTGATTTTCGTTTCTGATTAAAGATTTGTTAACCATTATGGGACCATGCCAAGTATCCTCCTGACATATTAGGCTTCTCCTTGACTACTATAATGAACCGCGACAACACGTGCTGCTAGAGGCTCTCTCCTTTGACTAGCCTCCTAATGCTTACTCTATAGCTTGCATTTGCTCCCTCAGAGACTGGCGGGTATCCCGCTGGCTTCTATGTTTAGCTAGGCAGGCATTTTCTCACTAGGTCACCAAATCGGGTTTGATTTTTAGTTCTTCCCCCTGTCCCTGCAGCCTGCGAAACCTTTTATTATCACTGGGCTTAGCTGGACCCATAGTCTGCAGTCGTGCCATCAATGTGTCTTTTTGGGTTCCTCTTAAGGAAGCACATCTGAGTAAACCGAGGAGGATCTTACTGTTCAAAAATGAAGATATGTGGGGACCAGAACGTATCCTCTGGCAGAATGATTTTGGAGATGCCGCAGAAATCCTGGGGTTTCCAGGTCACCAAGGCATTCTTCCACCTCTAGGGGAGAGGAAAGCCAGAGAAAAGAACTGATTTCTGGACTTACCGTACCTGGGCGATGGCTTATTTTGCAGATAAAATCTCTAGTGGAATCTTACCAAGGTCAGTAAGAAATAAAAAGTGACAGTCTGCAGTTTTTCAGCCTAGAGAAACAAAATGAGGAGGAAGTTTAGCAGCGTTTCAGTAGCAAATGTTTGCCTGGAGCTTGGAGGTTGTCCAGTGACCGTCTTGCACCACCGGCGTTACAAATAACAGAGAATCAGATCAGGACAATAACATGCACCTTGGCCCTTAAACCAGGAGGGTAAGAGTCACTGGCTGAACGAAGTAGGTGCCCAACAGACTTGATTTGTGCTGGGAGGTGATCCAGAGCAGTAAACCAGGGGTGGGGCAAGAGCAACACAACTCAAGGAAACAGTGTGCGGGGTCTGATTGGGAGCCACAAGACAAACCAGCCCCGCAAGCCCATGTCGGCTGCACCGCTAGCTAAGGCTGTGGGCCCCTTCACCCAGGCTAAGCAGAGGCTACAGTCTCTCCCATAAAAGACTTCCCTTTACAGGAAAAATGCGGAGGTAAACGCAGCTGAAATCCCAACCCTATGCCCTGGCTGCTTTACAGTTGCCTTGCTTTGCCCGAGCAAAGCAAACCTGACTAAACCGTGTCATTAAAAACCGGGCTGAAGACTGTTTTGCGTTGCCAAGCCTGTACAAATGAATGAGGCTCTAGGCTTGGATGTGGTAGAGGCTATTTAATGTGCCTGAAGATTTTAAGCAAGCCTCCTTTTCTGCGTGGACCGGACACCTGGTTTTAGACCTGGGCTCCTCCAGCAAACACGGCTCTTCCACACAGCTGCAAAGCCAGAGAAGAAAAGCTCAGGGCACAATTTTGCTCCAGCACACATCCATTTCATGCCTGTACCTTCCACAGAGATACTCCTGATTTGCAGTTGTATAAATGACAAAAAGAAGCAGGCTCTTTCAGATCATCCGCTGCCTCGGTGGTTCCAGCCCCTAGGGTTTCCCCACCATAAAGGGTCACAATAGGAAGAGGTTTCTTTGCTTACCACCGCGAGAATGGAAACCAGGGAAAAATCCATCTTCAGTTCCAGGGGATCTTCCCAGTTCTTCTTGGGTATTGTATAGAGGAGGTGTTTATTGTAAGAAGGGAAATTCAGGTATTTAACAACATCGTAGTACGTGCAGTTTTGCTCCGCAGCCGTCCCTGTGAGAATCAAACAAAGAGATGGTTACATCCAAACCCAAACCCCTCAAGTCAGGAAAGACTCGGCAGGTAGACTTACAGCAAAGGGTGACGGGCTGGGATCTGTAAATGGTAGAAAAACCACCAGTGGACCTAGGTTCCCTTGCACATCATTAGTGACAGTGTCGACCTTAATCCTTCTACTACAGAATAACTCAGCTTTAACTTACCACTTGCCATGGACAAAGTAAGAATAGCTATAAAGGTTTCCCACATCTTCCCCCTTTCCCTAACACATCAGCCCAATGGCACCGTTGATGTTACAGCTCATTTTGAGTGGATACAGGAGGATGCGTGGCTGCTGATTTGATATTTATCTGTGAAAGGAGGAAGTTTGTGTAATTGAAGGCTTAATTTTTTTTATGAAGAATTAATTGATAATGGATTTGCAATCAGCTGGCTCTTGGGATCAAACTTGATTAATGTTACAGTAAGCATAATTTGATTTGATGATGGAATTTATTTTAAAAACAAGTTGTGGAGATAATGAGGGAAGGGTCAGCTCCACTAAAAGGAAATGCTAAAAGCTTTAGCTACTGAGAGCCCAAATTTCGGGTCTAATCATGGGCATGCTTATGCAGAGTTTAGACCGAGATGCAGTATATGAAGGACAAGATTTTTCCCTGACCTCATCCCCATAACTAGGATGCTTGGGGAAGGGGGAATGAGTGCCCCAGTTGGAGAATGTCTCAGTTTTCTAAAGCGTTCAGCCTTTTGTATGTTCACTCCATCCCCATCTTTCTGCCTGGTGGATCTAACATTATGCAGATCAGTGTTTCTCAACCTTTTAAGTAGCAAGTACCCCCTAACTTCTGAAAAGTTGAATAAGTACCCCAACGCTCAACTTTCCAGGGGATTTTATCTTTATAAACTAGTGTGTGCCATATGTTGGAAGAACGGCTGTGTATATAAGGCCGTGATATGACAGATGTCTGATCTGGTGTGGGTAGGGTTGCCACCTTTTACGCCGGGGGTGCCCAACTCAAGTATGTACCTGGGCTAGAGGTGATGTTGGCCAAAGCTAGGAGGGCTGAACCCAGTCCCGTGCAAAGTGTGGCACGCCAAATTATTACTGGGGAGTTTAAAGCGCTGCACAGCGTGCTGTGCACCAAATTTTTTGCCATAGGTTTGAGTGGAGGAAGGGGCTAGAGGGAGAGGAGAAGGGGGCAAGAGAGAGGGAGTATTGGGGTACCCATGTCCCCCCTGCCTGTGTCTCGCATACCCCTAGGGGTGCGCATACCACAGGTTGAGAAACTATGATGTAGATGACTCCATGCTCTCCCTCTTCTCGCTCCAGTCAGGCCATACTGCAGGGAGGCAATAACATCCCACACAACCGTCTTTCCTACTCTTACTATAGTAGGCAAAAATCCTTGTGTGTTTTCTTCATTTCCTCTTAGGACATTTCTTCAATTATAAAAATACTAATAACCAAAAGAAGCACTTCTACTCCCTACACTCTCTCCTGTGGTTGGGCTCCTTAAAATGGATAGGAGCTGGAAGGTGACAGGCAGGAAGGGATGGATCCCGATCAAAGGTGGATGGTTCATTGCATCCCGATGGGACCTGCTTTAATTTTATACATCAAATAGGCCTGATGGGATCTGATAGGCAGCACCTGGAGAAGGAGGGAGCAGCAGAGACCTCCTGAGAGTCGCTTGGAGAAATCTGCTGGTCCGAGCACGTGGGTAGAAGGCTTGTGTGGATGCCTAAAGGTAGAGGACAAGAACGAGCTCAGACAGGGCAGGTGGAGGCCTTGAGCAAGAGGGGCTGATTGAATGAGAAGGAGCTCAGCAGGGCTAGGGCTTGCAGGAGAGATGAAACACTGCACTGGCGACCTTGCATGGGGAGGATGGATCCCTCTTGCAGAAGCACTCCTGTGAATGGGTGAAGGGGGGTGGTTTTTTTGTGCACTGCTGGTGGTTGTTGACCCCGGGATTGAAGGGAGCATGGTAATTCCAAGGTGCATGGATGGCTCCGAGAGCTGTTGGGTCCGAACCTGTCCTGCTGCAAGAGGTGATGAGTGCATGGCTGTGTGATGTCTTCGAGGGACCTGCTGATGTTTGGGCTGGTATTACTTACGCCTGGAAGGAGGGCTTGAGCTGGCCTCGCAGAACAGCCATTCTGTTCTCCTGTGTGCGGTGGGAAGGGGAAGGTAGTGATCAGCTCGACTTCTGGAGAAGATGGGCAACCCCGTCAGTCCTGGGCTGGGGAAATGGAGGCAGGACTCACTTTTGTTGTGAGCGCTGGCTTCAGGAGGACACTTGTGAGTCCTCTTATGAGAGGTGATTTGGTTTCCGCCCTGAGCCTATCTAGGTCAATGCAGTTATATTGTGGGTGTTTTAGCCAGTGCATCCTGTCTGTCAGACAGCCTGCACAGGCCTGGTGTCATCAGTCACCTGGCAGTCATGGCTCTTGCGCATCAAGTCGCCCGTCGATTCTGGTAGCCCGTCTCACAGAGCAGAGCGCCTCCGGCAGTGCTTCCCCCTCCCTCGGCTCTGATCTGCGTCCCGCGGAAGCGCCATCTGAGCTCCTGCTGCGAGGTCTGCAGTCTGTCCCACGGCCTTAGAGTGGCTGCTCTTCAAGCTGCAGGAGTGTCTTTGCTAGGGCAACTTGGCTGGGGTAGCTGAAGCTTCTTTCCTGGTAAGAAAATTACCTGGCCTTCAGTGCTGAGAGCTGATCCCCCTCTTGTATCTGCCATTCATCACCTCTTTCTGTAATGCATAGGACAGAGCCCCGGCATCTCCCTGCTTTCACTGTGCAGCTCCTCGGCTTTGGGTGCAAGGGCCCTGCCAGCCCAGTCCTCTGCCTCAGGTGCCCAAACAGCATTCATTTAGGACACCACAAAGCCAACATCTCCGTGATTAGGCCATGAAACGCAAACCTTCCTAAACCAAAAAAGGGTGGAACAAGAGCTCTGGGGTGTTAGGAGCCTTTTCTGACGGGCAGGTCGACTGCCTCCAACCCACTGGTTGATGTAGGAGAGCCTTCACTGCCCTTTCAAGTGTGTCGCCTGGCAAACGCAGCTGGCTCCCACGCATGCCCCACTAGGACTGTAATGGGGATATCTAGTGGTGCCAGAGTCTGGGGTCCTTGCTCCCTTCTCCCTTGTTTTGCACAGGGAGAGGTGGGAGCTCTCAGTGAGGTCTCCGCAGTTGTAGCCTGCTGTTACGCCCATCTTGGAAGAGCTCCCAGGCAGGGTGGGGGCGAGTGGGGACCTGGATCCACCCTGCAAGGTCCATGCCGCTGGTCTGCCTGGCTCTCCCAAGTGGCGCAGCTGCAGTCGGGCAGGGAGCCAGGGCAAGGGAAGCATCTGTGCTTGGGCTCGTCCCCACCTGGGGTGCAGAGGTGTCCCTAGCTGGTCCCGCAAAGCACCTGCTCTACAGGAAAGCTATCTGGACTCTAGTTCTGCCTTGAAACCCCCAGGCATCACTGCTCTGCCCCACGGCACTACCCCAACCGGTCCGTCGGCACGCATGTCGCGGGCAGAGGTCTGCCCAAGGTCAGATGGCCGTTGGCGAGTGTGCTCCAGGCAAGGGAGCCATGCAGCCAGCGTGGCAGGAGTTAAGCTCAGCCCAGGAGAAGGGCATGCCCCCCCCCCCAAGCCTCCCTGGGGTGGGTTGGATTTAAAAGCCTCCAGTTGCTGGTGCGCCAGGGCTGCATGCAGTGGGTGTGCCAGGATCCCCTGGGCAGCAACAGGCTTCCCCTCCCTCCGGCTGCGGGGGGCTCCCTCGGGGCTGCCGCTCAGCTTTGCTCGGATCTGCTTCCCCGGAGGGAGCGGGGCTGGTTTGGGAGCGGGGCTGGCAGGCATCGGCCCTGGGCAGTGGCAGGGATCCGGGCCGGGGCAGGGATGCGGTTTCTGCAGCCTCCGCTACTGTCCCTGTATCCCTGACCGCGTGGCCTAATGGATAAGGCGTCTGACTTCGGATCAGAAGATTGAGGGTTCGAGTCCCTTCGTGGTCGGCAGCTCTTTTGCCTCCATCGATTGTCGTGGAGCCGGGCTCTGCGCCCCTGTCATCCGCTGCGGGGCTGGAAGCCGCTTTCCTACAGCCTGGCCCTTCCCAAGGTGCTGGTAGCCAGACCCCCACCTGCTCTGGGACGCTAGCACACCCCAGCCAGGCTCTGCAGAAGAGAGGAGCGGGCATGATCAGCTCCCCCCTTGCATTGCAGCAGATTGAGAAATCTCATCCTTGTGCCCACGGCTGCAGAGTTGCGGAGGGTTACTGGGGCTGGCGAGGGGAAGTGGGGTTCACAAGGTCTATGTGAAAAAAGGAATCTAATTAAAATAATTAAATGGGTATGAACAATGCCCCAGATCTATAAGGTGCCATCAGGAGGCCTGAAAAGTAGGTACATAGGGAGCCCCAGTGGCCTAATGGATAAGGCACTGGCCTCCTAAGCCAGGGATTGTGGGTTCAAGTCCCATCTGGGGTAACAGCTAATATCTTGGGTGAGGTTTCTGCTTCCCTTTTATTGGAGTAGCTCCCTCTTCCATATGTCCAGTCACCACCGACAGTACGCATGCGAAGGAGGCTGTAATGAGGCATTTCTATTTGATGGACATTTTCCTGGGTCTTTGCTGGAGAGCATGGCTTCTGCAGGAACCAAGCACGGCATCATGCAGGGAGGCTGCTTCATGCAGGCAGCTTCTGCCAGTCCAAGCTCAGAAATGGGGCTGGATAGTCCTGAAAGCAGCAGTTAACAACTCATACCACTACCGGAGCGGGGAAAAAGTGAACAGAGGTGTTTCTTCCTGAGCCCTAGCAGGCAGAGGCAAATATGGGTTATTCCTTTTCCAGTACAATATGGGTTAGTCCTTTCCACCTTCAAACTCATAATCCCCCTGGTTTGGTTATAACTTGCTCTAGCCACCTTTGAAATGCCAGTAAACCAATACATTATAAAGACCATACCCATGCTATAATACTTTCCAGCAGTTTTTAATTCTTATGTTGAAGGTTTTATTTTCCATTTGAACTTAGAAACCTTCAGGATCAGCACAAAAGCAACCATGAAGGGACTTGAACCCTCAATCTTCTGATCCAAAGTCAGACGCCTTATCCATTAGGCCACATGTGCTAGAAGCTCTGATGATGCTGCAGAGGTAATACCTCCATCAAGTGCCAGAAATAACGCCTCTGTGAATCACTTGAGCAGTGGGTCTCAACCAGAAAGAATTATTTTCCAATAGTCAAGGGATGCATGAGGCTAATGAGGGATGTCTGGAAAAGTGGAGAACCACCATCATGTCTAGACAGGTTGAGAACTGCCATCTTAAGGCAAGGAGAAGGAGATAAGAGACCCCGAAGGGAGACATCTCCTATGCAAGCAATCCCCGCCAACAAACTCCTGCTGTTCCCACCAATCCCTCTGTGCCAGGGTCCCTTCCAGTTTGGAAAGCTGAATTCTTCTTTCAGTGAGGTTTCTGATGGGGTTTCCACAAAGGGGCAGTGAGGCCCAGGCAAAAATGGAGATGAGGTTGAGCAGATGGGGAATGGTGTGACATATGCACAGAGCCCACCAGCCGAATCTGTGCTGGGGCAGCTCTGACTTCCCCCCTCTCTCTCCCGTGGGCAGTATCTTGCTCAGACAGCCCTGGATTTGGAGCACTAATACTGTTACCCATTGTGATGAAGCTCAACACACTTCCAGGAGATCCAAGTGAGCATGCAGGATTTAGAGCACCAGAAGGGTGCTCACCTTTAATGAGAGTAGAGCTGGCAGGTGGGCTCAGAAAACAGCGTGAACTCTTCCCCCACATCTTACTTTCAAGCAAGCACCCACCCCGAGCTTTGAAGAATGCAGAGAGTACTCAGTGAAACAAAAAAACTGGAATCAAATAAATGGGTACTGCAATAAGTAGAGCCATCCCTATAATATAGACCAATCCCCCATTACAGCAGGAAACCTACTTTCCTGTTGATACAGCTTAAATCAACTCTCTGAATACAAAAAGACACTTTTCCTGATGTAACTGTATCTACATTAGGGTTTTTGTGAGCTTAGCTGTGGCAGAGGTGAGTCTTTCCTCCATGTTCTTGAACAACTCAGGTAAGCTAGCAACACTTTTAAGTGCCGGCCAAGGCTTAGATGGGTTTGCAAACAAAATTATTCCTGTGGTTTCACTTCTTTACTTTTTTGATGGCTTGAGGGGGTCATTTGAGCCACAGCTAATGGACGCAGAAAGCATTCAAGGCTGCAGTCTAGTGGATAATGGACAAGATGGACTGTGTCGTTGAAGTGTCTTTGTGGTTGTGGCTTGCCACTTGGGTGGTAATAAACTTCTGTTTTCAGGAAAGGTGCAAGCAGTGGGTGAATGAAACAGTGCCGGAGGTGCAAAATAGACCAACCTACTTTGGAAGCAGTAGTGAAGTCATTTGTAGCACATTAGCACTTTACCGTCTGAGGTTGACATAGCAGACAGCAAGGCTGTAAATATTTAGGAATCCATTGAGACTAAAGGCAATAGATGCTGTTTTCTGTAAAATCCAGGTTGGAAAGTAATACAGGTTACTTTGTCTTCTTACCAAAGAAGAGATGGTTTAATATTCCTTATAATAGTTGGAAAGAAAAATTCTCCCTCGTTTCTTCTTTTCCTACTTTAAGATCCAGTGCTACAGCTGCTGAGGGTTTAAAGTCATTTGTTCAGCCTAGGATTAGAAACATAAGCAAAATAGTATAATTGTTTCTAAAACCATCTCAAGAAAACTTCCTGTCTAACTGCTTTTGTGTTATAGTAGTGTCTTTCCCTGCATTTGCCTTCCAGACTTCTTCACAAGCATCTTCAGTGACCTAATGGATAAAGCACTAGCCTCTAATGCTAGGAGTTTGGTCTTCAAATCCCATCTGGGGTGACAATGTGTTCTTTACTTCTTAACATCTCCACCATATAAAGTTTTCAAGTGCACATTTGACAAGCATGTGCATGATGTTAGACAGGAAGAATCAATCTGTGACCAGCAGGTTGGACAACTTGAGGTCTCTTCCAGTCCTGTTGTTCTGTGACTTATGGTTTGACTCTGAGCATGGAAGCCCAGATATTTTATATTGGTTTCTTGTTTAAAATGCTCTTTAAACTTGCTGAAAAATCCAGGCACTCGGCTCACGGCATAAACTCAGAAGGGTTTGAATAACAGTGGATGCATGTACACATTCATTAATGCACCATAATTATGGTGTATTAAGTTTAGCACTTGTAATAAGAGGTACTAACTTAATGTGCCATAATCGGAGGACTTTTTTGTGTGTGATGCTAATGGGCAGTAGATTAATTCTACTACGCATTAGCACATTAGCATGGTTGTTGCTTGCCACGCTAATGCGCAGTAGAATTAGTCTACTGCGCATTTAGTGTCTCCCGTACATGTGACCAGTAAGAGCTTTTTTTGGGCGGGGGGAACTATCCCTTTTGGAGCCTGGAGGAGGGCTGTACTTTTGGGGCCTCCTAGGTAGCCCCTTTTCTTTGCATTATAATAGTCTAAGGAGTCAGTCCAACCACAAAGATATATTCTCTGAAGTGTAGCATCAAATATACTTGCATATGTGGCCTAATGGGTAAGGTACCTGACTTTGGATCAGAAGATTGAGGGTTTGAGTCCCTTCGTGGTTGGCTATGCTTAATCCAGAAGAGGGGCTTTCTGATTATCTTTAAATTAATATATTATATTGGGCATTAGGCAAAAACTTCTGAGCAGGTTAAATGACTTGGTGCCCTGGTCTTTTCCCCCATAATTATTAGATGCAACCATTGGAAGGGCAAGGGGCTGCTGCTTGCAGCCAGGCCAACTTGGAGGTAGTTCATTTTCAGAGCTACTCATCTTCAGCAAACGCATTGCATTACAAGTCTCCTTATGTTCTCTCCACAAGTACTTGGAAGCGGGTGCAAACAGATCCATAATGTGGGAAAAGGAGGAAATAATCCTAGGTGAGGATCTCTAGTGAGTCCATGGGCAGTCTTAGCCTTCCTGGACAGGAGGAAGTGCTGGGTTTGGGACTCCAAGTATCCCGAAATGAGATACTTGCTCCTAGGTCCCAGCACCGGCGGAGAGCCCTGGGGACCATCTCTATCAGATGGACATTGGACAGCTTCCTCCTAAAGGGTTTTGCTTCCTTGGGTATTACTTTGTTGCACACAGCTGTACCTATCCTGGGACATGGCAGAGTGCCCCTAAATCTCAGTTTTCTGTAATGATTCTTATTCCAATCAAGCATCAGTCATAAGAACAGCTTGGACCTCCCTGCATCTTCTGCAGTGCTTTGATTCCTAAAGTGTCCCACAAATGTAGGCAGAAATTTGATTTTATTTGGAAAAGCAGCAACCACAGAGGGACTTGAACCCCCAATCTCCTGATCCGAAGTCAGATGCCTTATCCATTAGGCCATGTGGTCAGCTGTGGCACTACCCTCCCTATGTCAAACAGGGATTTCAAGGAGCCCCTTGTGATTTCTTTACTGTGAAAACAGGTGAAGAAAACGCAGAAAGCTGTTTCTGCTGGAACCCTCTTCGTTTCTGAAAGTCCCCTTGTGTTATTTCCATATACAGAGCATGTGGCGTCTTCAAGGTCCGGTGAATCTCTTGCTCTTATCAAAAAATAAATCTCAAGATAACAGAAGTCCCCCCACCCTTCCCCTACCTCAAATATCCCTGCAGATATATGAGGGAGAGAACATAGCACCTTCCATATCAGATTGTTAATCTCAGGAGCTTTGATTTAAAATGTCAGTGTCTTATTTTATCAGCTGTTAAATGTACCTGATTTAGGTGCTTGCTACGGTTGTTATAGTGGGTGAGACTCCCTCCCCGGGGTGTTGGGCACACTGTCAAAGGTGATGGGGGAAGATTTGTGGGTGATTGGCTTTAAAGTGAGATCCCTTTGTCTTTAAATGCAAACTGAGTCGTGCTTCACTCCTTTCCACGAGGAATCCTCTCCAAGTCAGGAAGCATTGGTATCTTATTCTAAATTGGAAAATGGTGGCCATGAACCATGCAACTGATTTGGGAAGGAATAGTAGAGATTTATAATAGCCATTTATGTAGCTAGATTTCTGGATAGATATCTAGACCATGACCCGTCTCTATCGTGTCTGCGAACTCTCCTAAGGATATAGGACTCTTTTCTTCTAAACAAACCGTATGCCAGCTTACTCCCTGATTTGCTGTCCCTTGCAGAGACAAGCAGGAAAGCTGGCTGTTTGGGAGGAACAATAAGTCTCTGTGCTATAGGAAAGGTCTCCAGGTTTGGTTTTTTCAAATCATTTAATATGTGAAAGAACTCTCATTTCTTTTTAACAGCTCCTTCCAACCTTCAACTTGCAACCTCTCTTTCAACCATTTTGCCTGCAGCAAGAAGAGTGTGTTCTGTTGACCATAGTTGGAGGCCCTTTGCGTTGTATAACTAAAGATGCAAGAAACCCAGACCTACCGCATCTGACCTTGAGTATCTTAGTGACCTCTGGAAGATTGCGCCTCTAAGTAAATGTTGATCAAAAAGCAAAAAACCAAAACCCCATTGAAACCCTGAGCTTCTTTGTGTAAGTGAAGTAATCAAGAGAAAAGGACGAGGACAACGGTCCCATATTTTATTATGTCTCATGCAATCAGAAGGCTCATCTAGCAACATACAGCAATTACAAGACGACAATTATCTATCTAGGAAGGTTTTAGACTCTTCATTAATGGAGTTAGAGAGTAGGTTAGGCAACTATCTAGCCACAGATCTAGCCCATTATTACTCAGCTACAGCTGATCCTGTACTGGGGTAAGGGATAGACTAGCTGACCTTTCAAGGTCCCTCCCATCCATTTTCTATGAGTTGCCAGAGTCAATAACTCACTTGAGAATAACTATTGCCCCTTTACACACTCATTACTGATTAGTGAAGTTAGCAGCGCTGAGTTTAAAAAGCCAGACTGACAGAATGCCTTGCAAGGCAATCAATATAATTCCTCTCTCCTTCCTTTAGCTCCCCGTGGTGACTGCGTCTTCTCCGATGACACAGATGGTCACAGGCAGCTTCGTAGCTAATAGCTCCATTTGATGGTAATAAAAGCAAAAAACAGAACGGAGGCGATCAGATGAGTGTAGGAAAATACTTTCTCCAGGAAGATCAGGGTCTGCTCCCATTCCAGCTCAGCTTGGTCCTCGTCTTGCAAGGAAGCTAATTGTTGGATGATTTGTAGTTCTGAGTGGAGCTCTTTCAGAAACAAGACGGTCTCTTTCCCTTCCTTTCCAGTCAGGTTAGGGTCCCAGGTCTCCCCTTGTCCTGGAGGTACCTCATCTGAAGGAGGCAAGAAGAAGTAACCACCAAATATACATTTCTCTCTGTTGGACAAAGGGGACTTTTCATCACTAAATCGACCCATGTTAATTCTTTTTGGGAGCGATGCCTGTGGCTAGCATTCTTATTAGTTTTGTTCATGGCCTAGCTCTTTACACCAATGGGAGCCAACCTTTTTGGCAGCTGTGCCACGAATTAGCCCTGCATGCTTCCCAAATGCCACTCTGAGCTCTTTCCTGTAGCCATTCCGCTGCTCGGCTTTCAGCTTCCTGCCCTGTACGCCCTTGTCTGATCTGACGCTCTTCTTTCTGCTCCCTGCCCTATCGCTGAGGCCGAGCAGTTAAGGGGTCTTGCTGCAGCTCCAGAGGTGTGCGTCCAGTCAGTCCAGCCGTAAATGGGTACTCGGTCATTCAGGCAAGGATGCCAAAGACATCTGGGTGTGACGCTGCATCATTGCCTTGTGTGCCATTGGCTGGAGACACCTTAACCACACTAGGCAATGTGCTTGTGGACTCAGGGACACATTTGACCCGTCATGTTATGTATATAGATCACTTTCTTTACTATAAAGTATTTAATTGTCGGTGATTAGTTACCCACCGTGATGAGTTGCAAGGTTCCCAGACGTTTTCTTCTCCTTCTTAAAGAATCTCAGCAGCAGCTTCCTTGCATTCAGTAAAGATCTTAGGGGCTTTCTTTCCTTCAGGGTCATCAACAAGCAGTTCTCCAACAGACAAATGACCATGGACAAGAATACACCCGAGAAAAACATAGCTGCAAAAGCCAAAGCAAAGAGGTGAGCCTGATGTCAACTCCCATGCTTGAGCACAAGATTCCCTGGCTCAACATTTTGAAGTGTCCACTTGGGAGGTGTTTTTGGACACCTGTGGGTCTGCTTTGATCAAAGACAATGGGAAGCTGTGTGCGCTCAGCAAAACTGAAAACCAGACCCAAGGTTCCTGAAGTTGGGCATCCAAAACCAGAGGTGACCAAAATCAGAAGCCACTTCTGAAAAAGAAGGCCAAATGTCCACACAAACTCCCCGCCCCCCGCCCCCCCCATCATGGAGCTTGTCAATCACTCGGTAGTGGAAAAGCATGTGTCCAGTTGTGTCTGTTGTGTTTCTCTCAGTACGGTAATTATTTTATAGTGTCTACAACCCCTTCGCTGGGTGCTACTGTAATTACGGTTCTAATGAAGACGGGTACCTATTACTGGTGGACTGTCAGAGGCAGCAGGCAGAATATCATTCAGGATCCAAGATAAAACACAGACCTCCAGGATAAGGGTGATCTTGAAGTTAATTTTGAAGTCAAAAGAGGCTGGTGTGAAGGAAATGGCTATATCCAGCAAGAAGAGGGCGCAGGTCGGGAGGATCATATTTAAAACATGTAAAATAGGTCTCCTCTGCATGACGATCTGCCAGGAAGGGCAACAATACAACACAATGAAACTGAGGCAAGCAGTTCTGAGTTACGGTGGATTATTTGCGTACTTCAGCAATTTTGAAAGCATCCCAGGCATAGACAGGCTTTTCCACACTCAGGTCTGATTTGACTTAGGAAGGAATAGCCCTCTCACATGCTAATCACCCCAGATCTTTAGTTAGTCTAAACAGAAGAAATTCATTAGTGCCACACCAGTTTGCACCTACTGCGAACCTAGCCCTCCTATGTGATAAATAATCTACCATTGTCAGGACAGACCTGTATCTGCAGGATATATGATATGATATGATATGATATATGATACCATCATCCTCTGATATCATCTGCTACCATCATACTTCTGATATGATATCATCCTCTATGAACACCCTGCTCTCCTTTTCCTCTCTCCTTTTCCCTTCTTCCATCCACTCCATTTTATATCTCCCCACCCATGGTTTAATTCTCTTCCACCTGTGCTGTCTGTCCTCTCTCACCCCATTGCTGACATCCTGTTTTCTCAATACCAATAACAAAGTATATTTTGCCCTATCCAGAAAGGATCAGGGTGGCTTATACTAAATGCTAATGACCCACAAGTAAGAAACAACACTGGGCTCCCTCAAAAGACACCCCAAAACTCCACCCGTTACCCCACTCCAACTCCTGTGCCTACCACCTGTCCTTCTAAATCCCTCCACACTGATTCATAAGGAGCAAATGGGACATAAACCAAAAGCCCTGCATCCCAAGCTCTCAGACTCTGGAGATGCCCAGACCCAGGTGGATTTGCATGGTGGGTTTCTGAATGGTGGGAAATAGAAAAATAAAGCTGGAAAAGGTCTCAAGATGTCACCTCGTCCAACTGCCTGCTAAGGCAGGATCTAGCTATGACAGCCAGGTCATCTCCTACTGAGATACTAGCTAGGCCAAATCCTGCTTAGTATCTGAGATCAGGACCATTCCTGGCCATAGATGTAGAGAAATCTGAATTTTCACTTTAGAGCAAACCGGTGGTCTGTCTTATCCAGAGCCTCCTGTCTGCACCAGTGACTATGCAATACGCTTCAGAGAAGGGCAAACCAGCCCCGTTAGACTTCTCAGTGATGTCTTCTTGATTTGGTAAATGGGCTAGAAATACACATGGATTTCTGGATCCTAGTTTCTAACGGGGCAGGGTTACATGCCATGTTGCTACCACCTAACTACATCCCCTCACAAGCTCCATCAGGGACTCACTGCAGTGTATTTTCCAAATGATTTCTTAGTTTCAAGCCACAAATATTGGGAACTAGACTAGGGGCAAGTGCCCATGGGATGTAGCTGGCAGGGCCATATGCTTCATATACCCATTTTACAGTGCAAGCTGATGTAATGGTTCCCCTTGCTGGCAGTCACATATTGCTTCTTTTAACACAGCCTTAATGGAGATGTATCCTGGAAAGCAGCCACATTATACCTTTGATTCCCCAGGAAAAATTACGCTAACATGGCACTCCTGCCATCACACCAGGGATCACAGTACTCATGCAGACCCCCAGCACCCACACTGGCTGTCAGAGGAGGTTCATTGAGCTTTGAGTGGGATAAGGAAAGAATTTGCTTTTGTGCCAAGTAGTCAATTTTCTTGAACTTTTCATTCCCAATCTGAGCCTATAATCATAGAAATTAAGGTCTGGAAGGGACCTTGAAAGATCATCAAGTTCAAATTTCACCCCCCCCCTGCTCTGCGCAGGAATACTACTGAGATCAAATGATCCCAGCAAGGTGTCGGTCCAGTCTCCTCTTGAAGACTTCCAAGGCTGGACACTGCATCACCTCCTCGGGAAGTCTGTGCCAGATTCTGGTCACCCTTACCATAAAGAAGATCTCCCTTACATCCACCTGAAACCATTCTTTAACAGTTTATGGCCATTTCTCCTTGTCCTCCCCTGAGGCGCCCTAGCGAACAGTTTTTCTCCCCTGCTCCCGATGTACACCCCTTACATACTTATAGACGGCCACCAAATCCCCCTCAGTCTTCTCTTCCCCGGGCTGAACAGTCCCAGATCCCTCAGTCTTTCCTCACCAGGTTTGTCCTCCCGGTCTTTAATCATTCTTGTGGCCCTTCTCTGGACCTTTTAAGATTCTCCACATCTTTTTTGACGTGCTGCACCCAGAACTGGACCCAGTACTCCAGCTCGCTCTCACCAGCGCCGAGTAGAGAGGGAGTCTCACTTCCTTAGCCCTGATCCTGCTGCATCGGCTAATGCATCCCAGCATGCTAATAGCTCTGTTGACTAAAGTGTCACAATGGCAGCTTATGTTCATCCTGTGATCAACTGTAACCCCGAGGTCCCTTTTAACCATTGTGCTGGCCAGGACATCTCCTAACCTATATTCATGTCTCTGGTTACTTCTCCCCAGATGAAGCACTCTGCATTTATCCTTACTGAACTGCATCCGGTTCTGCTCCGCCCGCCTTTCCAGCTTGTCCAGGTCCGCTTGGATCTGCATCCTATCCCCTAGTATAACTGCTTTTCCCTATAACTTACTATTGTCTGCAAACTTGGCCAGCATACTTTCCACATCCTCATTTAAATCATTGATAAAGATGTTGAACAGCACAGGGGCAAGGACTGAACCCTGCGGGATGCCACTGGTCACCTCCCGCCAAGATGATGCAGACCCGTCCAGTACCACTCTCTGGGTTCAACCCCTTAAACAGTTCCCAACTCATCTGACCATGGACTCTGCTAGCCCACAGTCCCCCAATTTTTTTTATAAGAGGGTCATAAGAGACCATGTTGAAGGCCTTTGACTAAAAGACCTGTTACCTAAAGGACCCCAGTAGGAATCACTTCATTAAATCCATTACCTGATAGGTGACCACACTAAAGTACATCCCATCTGCAGAACCGTTGTGATGTAGGACCCTGAGGTTTATGAATTTCCACTCTCCGTGGGTGAGGTGGTAACTGAGGCTGCTCCGAGTGGCCTCCTCCGAGGTTTTAATATTCTTCAGGATCAAGTCCTGAACTAGAACCAAAAAATGACCAAGGTCAGGCACCTTAGAGATATCTCCCCCATTCGATGGGTGTACGTGGAGAGTTACACTTCCACCAGAGCACAACACGACTGAAGCGTGGCAAAAATGCAGGGGAAAGAGGGGCACCACCAAGCCTCGGGAGTGAACAGAAGAGGGTATGCATGCACCCAAGAAAAAATGCATTCTGGGGGCAGGCTCATGTTGCAAAATGAGGGAGGAGATGAAGAATTGGGACTGAGCCTGAGGGGCTCAGGCAGGCCCTAAGGTGGGAGCAGGGGCCAGGGATTGGGAAGGATCTAGGAGAAAGACCGTGCTTGGCAAAGGAGGAAGCCACATTCTCCCAAACACTCAGGCATGTGGCCACACAGTTGGGCTACCTGGGTATACAGTGGAGAAAATAGATATGTTGCACCTCTGTTTCTCAAAGGGAAACTTGTCAGTTAGCAAACCGCAGGAGGCAGTGAGACGATACACCTGGACTTTCTTGATCTGCCCGTTGCTTTGCACATGGACAAAGAGACTCGTTGTAGACTTGTCTTCATCTGCTCTGAAAGGAAAACATAGTCAGGCCTGGTTACACAAGACCAGGCTTTTCTCAGGCTCTACTGCCTGGAGACTGTAATGGGAGCTTCTGTAGGGTCTGTCTGTGCACTGCATTCATGCATGGGGGCTCTCCTTTGAGAGCAGCAGTGAAGCAACAGGGAAAGGGGGACAGGAAGGTCTGACCCTAGGCACATATACTGGAGTGAAAAGAGAGAGGCAAGGAGCTCTCAGCGGCCAGCCCCAGTCTCCCAGTGCTGCCTCCTCGGTAGGGTTTGCAGGCAGGGTTCCCATTGCCTCCTTTGTGGGCTTTGTCTGCAGATGGGAGAGGGATTCTTGGCCAGTGGGCAACACTTTCATAGACTAGGGGGCAGATCCAGGATTTGGCAAGGGGGGGAGTGGGTAGAGGAGCAGCAACCTGTGCTGCAAGGGTGGCTGCACCCACCACACCCAGCTTCTCCCTGTGCCCTTCCCTCCTGCCCACTGGTGGAGGTGCACCAGGCTGGGGGAGCCTCCTGGGACTTTTTAAAGTCCTCAAAGCAGGTAAGAATCTCCCCCCTTCCCCCCCACGGTTGAGTCACATCCCCTCCCCACCTCTTCCCCCACCTGCTGCTGCTTTCCCTGCTGTCCTGGGGGCGGGTGAAGCTTCAGAGCTGCTTCTGCCTTGTCCAGCCGGGCTTGGCAAGGACCGGGGTCAGCTGGGCATGTGACATGACAGCAGCAGTGGGCAAGATAGAGCCACCCTGCCTGGTGCCCACTGGAGCAAGTGCAGAGAAGGGGAATCTCTCCTCCCCATTACTGCTGCTGTTGCTGTCCCAGGTGAGCTCCCCCCCTCCCCGCCCTGCACTTCCAACAGGACAGGAACCGCTCTGAGACTTCCCCAGCCCCCAGGACAGAGGGGAAAGCAGGAGGAGGAGAGGGGCGAAGGGAAGGGAAGGGAAAGGACATGCATCTGAGCTTGGAGGGGAAGGGAGGGCAGATTCCCACTTGCTTTGGAGACTTAAAAAAAGTCAGCAGAGGCTCCCACAGTGTGACCCAGTCTGAAAGGGACTGGGTACAGCCCTCTGGACCCCACCCTTGTTATATGCCTTCCTGAAAGTCCCAGATCATGAGCAGAGGGGCAAACCAGAGCTGCCCTATGTCTGAGCTGAGGAAATTTCCTGAGGGCTTTGGTGTTTCCTCTAAAAACAGTATTGAGGAGAAACAAATGAAATCAAGCAATGTTACTGCTCATCAATGAAGATCTCTGGTGCCCAGAAGAGACTTGCTGGCATAGAGAAGGAAGAAATATTGCAGAAGTCCAGGGGATTCCAAGACACAAAATCATTTTTCCATTCCTGGGGGCAAAAAGAATAAGGATTGAGTCTGGTCTTGCCAGCTTTGTCACAGGGAATGGAGTAGTCTATCAGCTATTGATAAGAAGGCTCTTACCATTGTCAGCCAGAAATAGAAAGTCACTGTCTGCAACTTTTCTCTCTGTAGAGAAACAGAACAGAGGAGAGCAGGGATTAAGCCCTCTGGCATTTTTCTGATAGCAAAGAAAGGAAGAGGAGAGATTTAGCTTCCTACTATGGAGATGATGGAGGCAAAAGTAAAATCCAGCTCCACTTCCACAGGCTCTTTCCAGTTCCTCTTGGGTTTGGTGTATAAGAAGAGATCACTGTTAGAGGTGATGTTCAGGTACTCAACCACATCGTGGTACTTGCAGATCTGCCCTGGATCTGCCTCTGCGGAAAATAAAATGAAAAGGGCTGGTTATATAATAATTTGCCTGACATCTTCATGATAAGGTAGTCTCAGAGCCCCCTCTCCTCTCAGCTGACTATTCCCTTCTGAAGCCAGAGTTTGGCTTCATGAGAAATGTGCTCTTTTAGCAAGGCACAAGTCCACCTTGGTCCTGTGTTCATTCTCACTGGGGAGCAGTGGGATGGAGAATCTAGCTGCCCTTAAAGTTTTCTTTCTTTTTTTTTTTTAATTTCATGTCTTGGGCCAAATTAGCTAAATCAGTTCCCACTTCTACTGACTGAACTCAGTTGTTCAGGTCTGTGTGGCACTACCAGTGGCAAGTATCCTGCTTCCCAGACTTAGCAGCCTTGGGTTTCAGATATTCCCAAATCCATGATGGCAGGCGCCCTATGTGCAAACCCCAAGCCCGGAAGCCTTGGGGTTCAGATGCCCCATAGTTTTGCTTGCCTCTAGCCAAAAGGCTGAAGGAGCAAGCTAGAAGAAAAGCCCAAGAGCAACCCCCCATTGCCATAAAATATGTAGCTGAGATCCTCCCATTGGGAGGCTACAGTAGACTCTCATAGGGGTGCCTGTCCACAATGCAATGAACAGGTCTCCACCCTCAGCTATATCAAGTTATTCAAGGTTGGGAAGAACAGGATCTCCCTTTCCAGGTCCAGTAAAACCACCTCGACCAACACCATTATCATGGTGTCTCCCCTGCCAGGTAGGTGAGTGCAACAATTTCTGAGAGAGGAATAGGTCAGACTGCACTTACCAGGTAGCAGAGCGAGCAAGAGACTGGCTACAACAGATCCCAACATCCTTCCTGTTGCCCTCAGGAGATGATGATTGAATTGGCTGGCTCTGAAGACACTGTGTGTGACGGGGTGGAGAGATGCAGAGGTGAGGCTTATGTGCTCTTTGCTGGGCAGTAGACACCACTCTGCACTTTGGTGACGATGCCTTTAGCTTTTTGATTGTTTCACTTCAGCTGCTGCTCTGCTGCTAGCCCCGGCACACAAAGAAATAAAGGCAGGATCAGAAATAAGACTTGAAAATGCAAAGACCATTTGCATTTTTCATCTTTCCGGCTTAAAAAGAGTTGGCCATTTGGGGCTCCAAGGTTACCATGGCACTGGTCCAGATTTGTAATGGAGATTTAGCATGACATGTGAGCCTGTGGCTAATGAAAAGCAACTGGATGAGTTTGAACCTAAAGTGGATTTAACAACCTGTTTTTTCCTCCCTTAGCCTCTCTGATGGCTCTCTCCATACTGCCTAATTAGTATAATGCTCCATTGCAAATGATCTCAGATGGGATTCCTAGCTACCCTGCCCCCCAGGGTAGAAGGAAATGCACTTGGAAATTAAATTTGCCTGAGTACTCAGTCTTGGGCATGGATAAAAGCCCAGTTTGGGAAAGATTTAACTGGAAGATACATCTGCGGTCTGGGTCTTTATATAAATGAAGCTTTGATGTGAGACTGTGAATCCAATACAGGTGGCTTTGGCAATCTGTTTATCAATTAGACAACAGATAGGAAAAGGGCTCATAGAATAAAGTCACAGAAACTGTGGTTTGGTTCATGCCTAGTTGCTCTATCTTTAGCTTACTTAGGGTGAAGTTACACATTACATTTAATCCATACTAAGGGCACTTAAAATGCAGGTCTCTGCACATTAAAGCGCTTTAACTCGTGCTAAGTTCCCCCTGAGCATCTCAAAGTTTTATGCCACTTCAGGTGAGTGTTAACTCCGGGCTGTGCAACCTAGCTCATGTTAAGGTAACCTCAGTCTGTTCCATGGAGATCATATGGGCCATTTGCAATCCACCAGTGTCCCAGGATGCACTGCACAGAGCAGGGGTAGATCCTAGGTGTTCTGGGTGACAGCCCTGATTACCAGCCCTCTAGCCCCAAGCCAAAGCTGTGCAGGCAAGAAACTGTATTAACCCTTGATGTTCGACTGCTCACAGTGTGCCCTAATTTTAACACTGCTTAGCATTGAAAGGATTTAGCGTGGTCTGAGTTTGACATGGAACTGCACTCGTGAATTCTGCGCCATCTGTCCCAACACTTAGCGGGCTGGAAGCATTTCGTATTATTAAGCTGATACTTCTCATTTAAAGGCCCTGTTTTCTAGTGCTTTCAACTTTGCCAGGCTTTAACCATTCGGGCTACAATCTGGCATGCTGCCTGCCCACCTCCGATGGATGTATTTTTCCTTTTCTAGGAACTTCAGCCCAAATGGTTCAGAAAGAGGAAGAGTGCAATACATTGCTTGGCCTGTGTTAGATTCTAGTGAGCCTTTTTTCTTTCAGAGACATCAGCACCCACATGTGTTGAGGAACAGACTTGATGTTTGGCAGGGGAAGGGAGGGGCTAGGGTCGAAATCTGCTGTGATGAACAAGGCAGGGAAAAGTCGACAAAGTTATATCCTAGTTTGCATGTTCTCAGTGGAGACTTGATAGGACAATGGTGCTCAACCTTCCTGCACCGTGGGCTGGATGAGTGGTGAGGGGCTGGCTAGTCTATGGGCTAGATCCCATATGGGCCTGATGTGCGGAGTCCATGGGTGTGATTGGGTATGCTGGCCTGACCCCGAATAGTAGATCCAGCCATGGCCTGACCCCATGCACTAGCCTGGTTCTGTGTGTTAGACTGGGCCATGAAACAACTCCACACACCGGTGTGATCCGATGTGTGGGGCTATGCCATCCAGTCTGCACAGCTCCAGAAATCTGGAAGCTGTGGCAATGGACGCTGTCACTGATCCCCTACTGCCAAATTTCCAGACATGGCTTTGTGGTCTGGATTCAGACCAGGGGCTGGAGCTGGATCACCCCCGTGCTAGGACATTACAGCTGAATTCCCTGGGTAGTCCAGTCACACTGGCCATGCTCTGCAGGACTTGCCCTCCAGTTGCAAGTCCTGGCTGGGCAGGAGGGACAGAGAAGCAGGCAGTGCTCTGAATCCATTCCCTGCTGGAGAGAGGCAGCTCAGAGGAGGAAGGTGCCTAAATCAAATGTAGATGGGACAAGAGTTTGACTTGTGTGAAGAAAGGGAAGTAGACTCAGACGAGGGTTAGGGGGGAGGGGAATGGACTGCAACCTGGCATGGGATGTGAGAGCTCAGGAGCCTGCCTAGGTACAGCTTGTGACTTTTGCTTGTGCATCTCTGTCAGACTGCAGACACCATTTGGATTTCATGTTCTCTGTTGTTCTTCTTCTTTCAGGCTTGGCTGGAATTCAAGGCTAAAGCCGGAGCGTCCTTGGCATAAGTGCTTCTCCTATGGAAAGACCATTGCACTAACCAATTGGCTGGCCCCTACTCAGGAAAATTGTTTAATAGGGCAGAGGTCATTTATCAACAGAACCAGGTGTCTGTAGTCACCTGCTGGGGTGGAGCAGGCAGTCTCATGATAGAGGAATCTAGGTTATAAAAGGGCAGGCATTGCTTTACTGCGGTGACTATTTTGATTGGTCCCAAGCAGCAGAAAGCTGCTGTAGGAGATGGATGAAGGGAGGGAGCCCTCCCTGCTCTGAACAGATGGACATCCCAAAAACAGCCACGGAGAGGGTGAGCTGGAGTAAAGGGCAGGGCATTTGGGGAGCTTGTTTTCTAAATGGTCCCTTATGGTTTCTCTCTTAAGTGGACAGCAATTGTGCTCACAATTCCTGGGCAAAGTCTGAGCGTGGATTTTGTGCCTCCTTGTGGAAGTCAACTGTAGGGCAAAAGGTTTCCACCTGGGGTGAAATACTGCATAACACAAAAGAGAGATACAAGGCATATGATTAGTATCTGGTCTGCGCGCCTACATGCCCCAAACTGGGGTCAGCGCCTTGCTCTGCCCAGTTCCAGAAACTGGATCCAAGTTTGGATCCATTCACGGCAGCTTGGTGAGTGGCCAGCACAGGGAGCTCAACCAGTTCTGTGAGATGCAGGAGCCCGAAACTAGAGCTGGAAGTCTTTGTGGGACAAGTGAAATTGGGAGAGCAGAAAGGGACTGGAATGGGAGCCAGTGAGGAAATGGGGTGGAACTGGGAGCCCATGCATGCGGGGAAGGACTGATTCCAAACAAGGCATCAGGGAGGCAGAGTGGGAATGGGTGTGCAAGGAGCCTGGGAGCTACGAACAACTGAGTGTCAGGTGGAGTGGGTGGAGCTGATAGGCCAGTCTTGGGGAGGCTGGCGGGGGCAGGAATTGCCTGGGAAAAGTGACTGAGAAAAGATCCTGGTGGGACAGGACACTGAGACAGGATTCGGTTCATGGAAAAGTGGGACTTGGAATAAGAGCCAGTGGATTCAGAAGATGGGGGAAAGAAACTAGTGAGGAGAAGAGCTGGGATAGGGACCTGAGACAAATGGGCAAAGCGACTGGGGCTAAAGAGCCAGGGTGGAACTGGAAATGGCTGTCAAAGAGACTCAGACTGGGACTAGGGGCAGAGGAAGACCGGGATGGAGATGGGAGAAATGTAGGCTTCTCATAGCAGGCCCCCACACTAGTAGCTACTTTTAACCTTAATCTCACTGTGCCTCCTTCTCCCATCTGTCAAGTGGGGATTGTACTTCTGTTCCCATCTCATGCATGTATTGGGAACATAAATCTGTGAATGACTGTGGACAGCTCTGGTCCTATAATGATGAGTAGCATAGAAGAGTCCACAAGGAAATTCGCTCTTCCAAGGAGTGCTTCACTGGGCTGCTTTAAACAAGGGCTGAGGATCTGCAGTGGAGAGAGAGCTAAATCTTGCATAATATTTTAACAAAATGAACACCTTCTGCTGGCAGAAGGCAGGGCACCCTGGGTTAAACATCTGAGGTGACTGTGCCTTTAAAACCTACTGTACGCCCGAGGGAACACAAGTAACCTAATTCTGCCATTTCCTAACTCTGCCATTTCCTTACTTTGAGAACTTGGTTTGAGTTGGCAAAGATGGTGATGTTCTTTTAGCATTTACTCTGTGCATGGATGTGTGTGAACAAAGATGATACATCACGAATTCTGTATGGCACCGATAAATGACTATAATCTTCACAAAGGAGAGTTAAAAACAGAGCTTCCAAGTTCATCTGATTTGAGGAAACCCATGCTCTCATTCTGGTCATAGATTCACAGTTGTTAGGGACCCTGTAGAGCAGGGGCGGGCAATTATTTTGGGCGGAGGCCTGTTTACTGAGTCTTGGCAAGCCATCGAGGGTCTCATGACAGGCAGCCAGGGGCAGATAAATATTAATTTTCTACATCTTTAGGGGCCCCGCGGGCCGGATACAATGGCTTGGTGGGCCGCATCTGGCCCCCAGGCGGCATTTTCCCCACGCCTGGTGTAGCTCATCGGGTCTAGCCCCCCTGCACCAGGCAGCAAAAGACAACTGGGGTCAGGTGACCCCAGCCAGGTGACTGTCCAGTGACTGTTGCAAGGAAGCCTGGTTTTTACCAGGGAAAAATCCAGTAAAACAAAATTTGGATGAAACGGAGTGAGGGAATATCCTGACAGGACAGAGATCACTCACTGCCTGCTTCAGTCCCTGTTAATTAACAGGATTTGGGTTTCTTTCTCCCCTGTCTCCCCCACC